TGGCTGAAATTGACATCTTTGGGATCATACTGATAGCTGATGATGATGATGATGATGATGATGAAACTCTTTGCTTCCGATTGGTACTAGTAGCACCCAATCTACTGGTTCCAGCTCCACCCAAGAATGCCCGCTTAGGTTGCTGAACAACGATGCAATTGGCTGGGACTTTGAGCATCAACGCCATCGTACGTATGGAGTCTGAAATGCCACAGCTTCTTTGGGGTTAGGGTTTTAGAAACCAGACTCAGAGTCAGACAGAGCGCATCGCTTTGTTTTCGTCTCTTTTTTGAAATAATCGCAGCCGTCGGGTTAAATATTTGTATCATAAGTACAATCCAATGGCTGAGAATAAACAGAGAGGGAGGGAGATTGAAAGAGGTTTGAAACGCGGCGTTTTTGCATAACCTGGTCCAGGTTTAGGTTAGGTTAAGTTAGGCAAGCGGCAAGCCTATGTAGGCATTTGAGTTGAGTTGACTCTAATCTCATTCTGTCTGACTAGCTGCTAGTGAGTAGAGTTGAATCCAGTGAGCAGAGCTTAATTGATTCAACAGTCGAACGGTAACCTAATTCTTGTTGATCTGAAAATTGAAATGGCTGCTGCTTCCGCCTCCGCTTCAACCCAGTGTTTTAACTCACGCCTCCCACTCACTGATAATTACCATTCTGATCCTCGTCATGGTGGTAGCAGCATTCTACGCCTTCAGCTGTCTCAGATACCCAAATCGCTCTCTCTTTCTTCATCTTCGTCTTCCATAGGAGGTTCGCTTTATTCTCTCTGCTCCACAAAGTAATTCAAGAAGTTTTCTTATTTGTTATTATTGTTTTTACTCAAGTAATGTAATCTATTTGGATTCAATCAAACAATTGAGGGGCAGGTGCAATTGAGAGGAAGGACCATCACCCCCAGCGTTCGTCTTTTGCACGAACTGCGGCTGTTCGCCATCTCGTTGGTTCCGTCACCACAACTCAGGGCCTTCGTTTCGCAGTGGTCAGTCTTCACTCCCAATGACTCAAAAGCGCACACACCATATGTATGTGTGTATGTGTGTATGTGTGTATGTAATTGACTAATTGTTGTTGAGTGAGTCGCTTTCTACTTTATGGTACTGACTTCTCTTTGCTTTCTATATTTCTTTGATTGTTGTTGACTTAATTATCTATTTTCAAGGTTGTAGCGCGGTTTAATGAGATTATCACAAAGCAGCTGTTAGAGGGAGCTCTGGCGACTTTCAAGAATTATTCAATTAAAGAAGAGGATATTGATGTATGTACCTAACATAAACTTCCAGTCATCTGCCTGGGCTTCTTCTTCTTCATCTAGTTGTTTTACACTTGTTACCATTGATAATGATCCTTGTTATAATCAAAGGCGGAGTGCTTGGCAGTTTCTGTGTCAAACTAAGGTTTACTTTGATGTTTATGCTCTAATTTCCAATTTGATGTTTATAGGTAATTTGCTGAATTGAAACCAACTGTCTTCTTATCCCAAACTCACCTGTTTTTTGTGCATTTCACCAAAAAATTAAAAAAAATAATAATCAGACTCTGACTGCTTCTCTGTTATGTCGGAAATTTCCATTTCTGACATACCACTGCTGTCAAATTTCACTCCTTGGCAATAAGATGATAAAATCTCAAAAAGAAGTAAAAATGTAGGGCTTTTCAGTTCTTAGCATTTTGCAATATCATTTGGAGACAACTTTAACCCCAAAAGAATAATTTGTTACGGTGCTTTTTGGTTAAATGTAGCAGATCTGATATCATGCCTTATATTTGTAAAGTGGTCCGTAGTCTTAATGTTGCATGAGCTGATTTTACGTGGCCTGATTATTTCTATTGCTTCTCCCTCAGGTTGTATGGGTTCCTGGTAGCTTTGAAATTGGCGTAGCTGCACAGAGGCTTGGAAGTTTAGGACGATATCATGCAATTTTATGCATTGGAGCTGTGGTATTTTCATGCAATTTTACATATCCTTAATATAATATATTATCTCCATGAGAAGTTCATTCTTTAGCATGCTGTATTTTTAAGTCTTGCTGCTAAAACCCTAATTTATGAACTGATCATTGTCAGTAGATAAGAGGTGATACAACGCATTATGATGCAGTTGCTAATTCAGCAGCATCTGGAGTACTTTCAGCTGGATTAAAATCAGGTTGGTGTCTGTTTTTTGTTAGTTGCTGAATTAGTTTTATCTTATATCTCGTACTGAGAAACAATAGCATTAGGATGGTCTGGGAAATCTTTTCCCATCTCGAATTTCTTCTTTGGTTGGTGGTATTGTTTCCATTGTATTAATGTTTCTTTTTCTTCCAAAATGCTTGAATTTTGTTTCCTCATAACGACTTCTCTTATGTCATACTAGGAGTTCCATGCATTTTTGGTGTCCTAACTTGTGATAATATGGAGCAGGTAAATCTTTTAACAAAGTATTCAAATGTAGCACTGGCAACTCTCTACAGTTTTCTTCTAATTACCAAAGTGGGGAATGATCTTACTGTTGTGTCTCATAATAATTGCAGGCTTTAAACCGAGCTGGCGGTAAATCTGGAAATAAGGGTGCAGAGACTGCTTTGACAGCTGTAAGTTGATATCAAAGTATCGTAATAAGCTATGATGGTACTGGAGTTGTTGCATTTGGAATGGATTGCTTCTGTTTATATGTATATCTTTTATTGAGTTGGGTTTGGTCTTGCTTCTCTCTCTCGAGTTTTCTTCCCTTATAGTTCATTGTTTACCTAGATTTTTGCATGCTGTCTTCTTGTTTTGGGGAGGGAGTTCCAAGATTTCTCCCTCTTGCCTCCATTTTAATCTTTTTCTTGCTGAATTTTGTTGTAGAGTATGTAGTAGAAGGTAAGTGTAAATAGAAATGATGGAAAATAGTAAAATATTAGTTAGATTTATATAACTTACTTCTGTTGCATTGATATACTATAACATTAAGTTAGAAACTGTAGTCTGATTAATAGCCTTTCGTATGACACTAATATGAAACAAGAGGGTAGTAGCAAGTTGGTGCCATGTTGAGGAGGGGTTTGTATTTTATTTTTTTCTAAGAGGTGCACTTATATATATATATATATATATATATATTAGATTTGTTCTAAGAGTAATGTTATTTGTCTTTGTATTTTGATTTTTGGTATAACCCTTTCATGGTTATTTTGATTTGTACTGCAGATTGAGATGGCATCTTTGTTTGAGCACCATCTGAAGTAGTGGTAATGTTACATTGAGGAGAGGCAGATAAATTCTTAATTTGGCCAGCGTTTTCCTTTACTAGATGTGCTTGGTTGTTGTTGTTCCATTTTTGAACTGCTAAAATATATATCTTGTGGGTGATTGAAACTCCAGCGAGGTAGCCATGTTGTCCCAAACTATAGTTGGCTATTTGTTGATTGCTAAGCTCTGATAAAAGCATCGAGGCAGAAGCTGAATAAAAAAAAGAAAAAACAAGAAGCAATGTTTGATGTTTCGAATAAAAGATTTCTATCTTGCTGGTTAGATGTGATTCGATGTTGCTTTTTCATATTTGCGAACATTCATTGTGGTTCCTTCACATTTCACTTTGAGGTTGAAATCTGAAAGGAAAGGTCGTTACCCTCACCACTTGCTATGTTTTGGTGACCGACTTGTGCACGAGCTGTGTTTGATTTCGTAGCCTAACTTTATTTTTGGCAATATTTCGTAGCCAAACTAGCATACTTGTTTTTTGTGTACGATTGCACTGTAAGATGTTTGGGATGTCGCTAGTTAGTTACTTAAGAATCTAAGATGTTGTAAAAGACAGGCGGTCGGTAATCAACAAAATTTGATTTGGCTGACAGCATCAAACTAAAGTATTCAAGAAGCGGGCTCATGTCCCTTGTGAGTGCGTTGCCGCATAGCCCAGCCATATCCAAGACCTTTTCCTAAGCTGCAAGCTTCTTTGACGCATAACAAAAGGAAAGAAAGAGATTGAACCAGGAAAACACACAAGTCTTTTTTATATAAATTTTTTAAATAAATAAATAAATAAAGGGAAGAAGAAAGATACTTTTTGTTATATATTAAACAATCATTGTGGCTGGCTGGCTGTCTGGCTCGTGAGATTAGACCAACTGGACATATTACCAAGTGAATAGTCGTCACTTGTTGTTACACATATATTAGCCATACGATATGAAAAATAAAGTAAATTTGTTTTTACAATTTTACATGTGCGCCTGGCCAGTACTCTTAATTCGAAGAGAAGACCATAAAAGCTGAGCCAACAATGCCTAGCTTCGATGCCACTCCATTCCAAAATGCCCAACAGTCGCCAGAAGGCTTCAAGCTTCATTTCCAAACTAAGTGACAAAAATGCCCTTATGTCCACCCCTTTCTTTCCGTAGTTACAACTTAAAACTTAAATTTAAAAGAAATGACTGGGCAAATAAAGTGGTGCAGTGCAACTCCTAGTGAGTGAAGAGCAGCGGTAAGCTTCAAAATCCATGTTGATTTTTACCGGGCATTTTTGCCGTGAAGAAGCTGTCGTTAGGTTACTTGTTAGGTTAAGAAGGTCATTTGCAGTTGCATTTTATATTATTGGACAATGGTTTGTTTGTGCATCCGTTAACTATGAATATAACTTTGAAGTCTTATGAAACAAAGAGAACAATTGAAAAGAATAAAGAAAAAAAGGGGCAATAAGAAGCTTAGAATCAAAGTTATATATGTACATAAGAACACGAGGAAAGATTGATGATGTTCGACATGCTTCATGTGTGATGTATATATATATATATATATGTTCATTAGAAAAATGGTTCTAATCAGGTTTACGCAAGTGGGATGGTATTTGCTCAGAAGCCAAATCCTTGCCTCTAAGCCTCTAAAGCCTCAATAGCCATGCAAGGAAGATTTCCTCAATAGCCATGAGGCGGAAGAAAGCAAAATACTCCCTGCTTATTCTTTCTATTTAGTGATCTTAAATCAGTTGGGAGGAAGTTAAAAGCTGAAAATACAGATTGCAGATTGTACATACATACATTACATAGAGTCTCCTGTTCTGTTTTGTCATGGTGATCTTGCAGCGTTCTTTCATTCATACCTCCCTTGTTAGCACCCAAGCAAAGCACCACATAACTGGATCGGATTGTATTCATGAAAAAGGTTCACTGAAGCTTCATTCGTCTCTTCCTCCAACTCCAAGTCCAAGCTTGTTGATAACCAATTCACAGCAATCTCAAACTCCCACTTTGTTGTTTCCTCCAGCCAAACAGGTTTGTTTAAATTTCTATTTAAATCATGTAAATGATACATAATTTGCCTCTTAAGTAAGCCTAAGGGTATGTATATTCTTCTCTTTTATTATCTTTAATCAATTCTTCTGAAGAGCATCGATCTAGATTACATTTATTCATGTCAGAGTGTGGCAGCTATTGTGTTTGGAGATGGACATGAATCACAGCTTTACCCATTGACAAAGAGAAGATCACAAGGGGCTATACCTATTGCAGCAAACTACAGGCTCATTGATTCTGTTGTGAGCAACTGCATTAGCAGCAACATAAACCATATATATGCTCTAACACAATTTAACTCTACTTCTCTCAATTCCCACCTTTCCAGAGCTTATTCTGGAGTAGGTCTTGGGAATGAGGGGTTTGTTGAAGTAATTGCAGCATATCAGAGCCCTGGAAATAATGGATGGTTTCAGGTCTGCATAATCAAATCCTCTGGAGTTTTATTGTTTCATTTACATGTACAAGTAGAAGATATGTATATATATATACTCTCTCAAGTCTTGAAATTCTAATAACTTGATATTAGGGAACTGCCGATGCTGTTAGAAGATGCCTGTGGGTGCTGGAAGAGTATCCAATGACTGAGTTTTTGGTCCTTCCTGGTCACCATCTCTACAGCATGGACTACCAAAAACTCTTAAAGGCCCACCGAGACAGTAAGGCTCACATTACAGTTGCTGCATCAATTGCCAGGAAACTTCATGATCCGGGTTTTGGCTTTCTAGATGTGAACTCTGAAAATCAAGTTGTGGAGTTTAGATTGAAGTTGGAGGGAAAGCCAGTTAATGTTGTTTCAGTAAGTAGTAGTAGTAGTAGTAGTAGTAGTAGTAGTATATTTTTATGTTTGTTTTTGGTATTTCTGGTAGGAAGCCTTAATCTGAAACTTCAGGCCAAAAGCTCAGGAGAATCCAAAGATACTGCTCAAAATAGTATGACGAGTATGGGAATCTATCTCATCAATAGAGATATAATGAAAAGGCTTCTAGAAGAAGATTTTCCCAAGGCAAATGAGTTCGCAAGTGAAGTAATTCCGGGAGCCATATCTATTGGAATGAAGGTCCAAACCATACCTCTGACAATTAACCAACTCTCTGTAGTGCGTTTGTTTCAAATTTCAAGTCCTTAGATAGTTAGATGCGAAGATTTACTAGAATTTTGTGCATGTGATGTGAGAGGTCAGGTTCAAGCTTATGGATTTGATGGATATTGGGAGGACATGAGGAATATTGAAGCATTCTACCAAGCAAATATGCAAAGCACAAAGGATGCAGACGTGGGATACAAGTCGGTAGTAACTTCTAAATTAAGTTGTATATATTGGAGTAGATCCCCTCCCTCAAATTTCAATCTCATGGACTAACACAAACTTGCTCATTTCTTCCATACATGTATAATTAACAACACAGCTTCTACGACAGAGAAAGTCCAGTCTACACTTTGCGTCGGTGTCTGCCTCCAACTCATATAACTGACGACTGTGTAATAACAAACAGTGTAATTGGAGACGGCTGCATTCTCAATGTAAGAACTTAAAGTCTTCGAATCATTTATCTATGTCTCCAATTAAACAAGTAGCAAGTAGTGACCACTGATATGTATGGATCTTAATAGTTCTTGTTTTCTTGTTTTCTTGTTTTGTGGGTGGGAAATGGTTGGTTGGTTGGTTGGTTTTGGACTTGTACAAGAGTAGGGATGCAGGATCAAAGATACAGTAATTGGTACCAGGACAAGAATCGGAGATGGGGCTATGATTGAGAATTCAGTGATCATGGGTTCAACTATCTATCAAGTAAGCTTAATTAAGTTTTAGTTAACTGAATTTGCTGAAATCATAACCACTAGTGTAGTGTGTGTTTTTTCCTTTCTTTCTAATGATCTGATAATCCTTGCCACTAATTGTTAAGTACATTTATTTTATACTTTGAAATCAAAATCCGGCCAAGACCAACCACAAACCATATATCTAATTTAGTCTAACTGTTTCTAAAGTAATGTTCCATTATGCTGTGTTGTTAATATCTAATCCACTGCTCTCACACTCACAGTTACAGACAGAAGGTGGTGGGAAGAGGAAAGTTCCCATCGGAATTGGTGAACATACTTTTGTAAGGAAGGCCATTATAGACAAGAATGCAAGAATTGGCAAGAATGTTAAGGTACATACATTATTAGCTGCAATTCAATGTTTCATAAGCCTTGAGTGAGAGATGATGATGATGATGATGATGATGGTAATTAACTATTATTCTGGTGCTGCTGCAGATCATGAACAAAGACAAGGCCCAAGAAGCGGACAGAGAAGCTAATGGCTATGTCATCCGTGACGGAATAGTAGTCGTTGTTCGAAGTGCAGTAATCCCAGATGGCACCATCCTCTGACTCTCTCTCTCTCTCTCTCATGCTCATGCTTATCCAATCCAATCAATTCTTTCTTATCAACGCCATGCCATTCATTCTTTTACAATTCAGTTGAGATCATGAAATAAAATTTAATTTACAATTACTTTTTTTTTCTTTTTCTTTTTTAAATGTTGGAATTTGCTTCAGCCTCCAGGCACGCATCGATGCAAAATTGCAAATGTACCATTTTCCTCCAATTCTTCAGATCGTTATCCACTCTCTGGTTCCTCTAAGTTCCCGTTTTCGATTGTGCATTTCACGGAACAATTAATATAAGCTTTCAGAGAAAGAAAAAAAACCATAAGTCATCTTATCTCACACCTGCAACAAATTCTCCCCCGCACAGAATATAAACAAAACGAAAAAGTAATTAAATATTTATTTTTTCCTTTTCCTTTTTAGCCTGAATATTAAGTATACCTGCCAACCAATAATAATAAATAGTCTTACAATGATTGATTGTAATGAGATGGAATCACTGGAACCGTGGGACCTCTCTTGGATGGGGAGACCTTTAGGGGCTGTTTGTTATACAAGTTTGACTTGGATTGGTTTGGACTAAATTTAATCTCATGTTTGTTTCATTTAATTCTAGTTTTGAATAGAATTGCTAATACCGGATCCACCAGATGAACAACCATTCGTGAGGTGCTAGATGAAATTGGGAGTCGGAGAAAAGAGATTGAGAGTCGGAAAGAGAGTGAGGAAATATACAAGAGACTTGAGGGAGAGGGAGGCTCATGAAAGAGAAGAGAGGAGATTGTTTATTTCATAATTAAGACAAATGCAAAATAATATCAGATAACTTTGATTCCATCTTCTAAAAATCTGGAAATGAAAAACCATGAAGAATAGTTTGACTGTAAAAACATAAACAACTATAATAAATAAATAAACCAACGGTGAGTTTCCATTGTGAGGGTAATGGTTTTTTTTTTTTTTTTTTAAATAATGTTACTCTTATCACATTTGTATACCACATTCTTATACCACCTAATGTGGCAGATAAAGTGGATAGTCACATCAATTAAAATTATATAACATTTTCTTTTCTTGTATGATTTATTAGACTTAAAAAAAACTGTTAATTAAACTTTTTTAATTAAAATACACTTAATTGATTTAATTGATGTAACATATGATATGGACATGTCACATCATATAGTACAGAAATATGGGATAAAAATGTGGTGATGTGGCATGGAATTGCATTCATAATTCAACGTGTTTTAATTTTTGTTATTTTTAAAAATTCTTTTAGATCTGTTTAGTGGCTTCATTTGACCATTTTGCCCCATTTATATTGAATTTCTTTACTTTGGTGTTTTTCATAAAGAAAGGGTAATTTCGGGGTTTTTTGAATATTTTACCATTGTAGATTGATAACAAATTAACAATTGAATTGAATGCATTCACCGTGTTGTGTAAGAGAGATTTCGCAATTAGCCGGCCCCCAATATAAGTGCCCATTTAGTATTGCTTATTTGGGATAATAAGTTATTTAAAAAAAAAAAAATTGGGAAGCTCAACCCGTTTGATAAACTATAAGAAAATCACTTATTGTTAAAAATTATTGTGAGAGAAAGCTATAAGGGAAACAGCTAATGAGGTGCTGTCATTTTCTTATTATGAGGGAATCAATTTCAAAAAGGCACCGAGTTTAATGAACAGCTAATGAGGTGCTGTCATTTTCTTATTATGAGGGAATCAATTTCAAAAAGGCACCGAGTTTAATGAAATTGACATACTTCCGAAAATACCTCAATCTATTTCATGCAATCTATTCTTTTCTTCCTTTTTATTTTTATTTTTTTATTTTGGTTGAATCAATTGAAGCACACTCCTGAGAAGCTACAAGACTCATGTAAGAGGTATATTATGTTTATTTCTTCTCAATTTCTTTCTTACTTCTTTCTCTTTAATTTCTAGGGTTTTAACTTCAATAACTGTTGATGTTGGTTTTTTTTTTTTCCTGTTCCTGTTTTTGTTTCTTCGACAGAATATTTATTTTTAATGGAATATATTGGATTTAACTTGAAACATTAGTTTAGAGCATTTGGATACAAATATTTAATTTTCAACATAATATTTATTTTATTTTATAATTAAAATAATTTTAGGGTGTGATGGAACAAATTTGATACCAAAAAAATATATATAAGTGAAAGGGAAAGTGCTTTCTCTTTTATCAAACACTCTAACAGAAAAGTCATTTTAACATAATACCCTTTTTAGTCATTATATACAATTCACAATACTTTTACAAAAAAAATTACTAAACACTTAAAAACTGATTATTGTACCAATAATACTTTTAACAAAAAATTTATCAAATGCCAAACTGCTTTATCTGATAAGTCAGCAAATCTCACAGCACATGCCAAACTAGCACCAAGTAAAGTCATTTAACTCGCGACCCCAACCGAAGCTGCTTCTTCTTTCTCATTGCTGAGTGCTCATTGCTGATTGCTTCTGCTTATATTTACATACTCAATTTAATTTTCTTTCTTTATATCTTTGCTGCTTGTGTCGTTGGGCTGCATACAAATTGAACTCTGCCCCAGCTTCCAGGTATTTTAGCTCAGATCTCATCCAAAAATCAAAAATATTTATTTAGATCTGACATGTTCTTCTTCTTGGAGTGAGTTGATATTCGTTTTTTTTTTTTGGTTGTCAAAATTGTTCATTTGTTTTATCTTGGGGAGTCAAAATTATGATCAAGTGGCATGATCTGCATTCGCAAATAATCAATAATTCAGAATGATATCATCAAAATGTGTTAATAATTGGTATATATGAACTTTTGAAGGTGTTGATAAATCAATTGTAAATTGTATATATATGTATAGGGCGAGTAGGTAGGGAATACATCTTCATGGCATCGTATTCGTCGAGAGATGATAAGCCAGAAATTGCTGATCGGGATGCTAAGGAGAAGAAATCTGACAAGAAGAAGAAGGAGGGAGAGAATGATGAGGATGATGAGGGTGGATTTATCGATAGGGTGAAGGATTTCATTCATGACATTGGGGAGAAGATCGAGGGAGCAATTGGGTTCGGGAAGCCAACAGCGGATGTTACTGCGATTCACATCCCTAGCATCAATCTCGAGAAGGCGGAGATTGTGGTGGATGTGCTGATCAAGAACCCAAATCCAGTGCCCATCCCTCTTATCGACATTAACTACTTGATCGAAAGTGATGGCAGGAAACTGGTCTCTGGCTTGATCCCGGATGCCGGAACAATCCATGCCCACGGAGAAGAGACTGTCAAAGTTCCAGTCCACTTGGTATACGATGACATCAAGAACACCTACGATGACATCAAGCCTGGAAGCATCATTCCTTACAGGTTCAAGGTCGATCTCATTGTCGATGTCCCTGTTCTCGGCAGACTCACTCTCCCCCTCGAGAAAACTGGAGAAATCCCTATCCCTTACAAACCCGATGTCGATGTTGAGAAGATCAAGTTTCAAGCCTTCTCCTTCGAAGAAACCGTTGCAGTCCTCCATGTGAAGCTGGAGAACATGAATGACTTCGACTTAGGCCTCAATGCTCTTGACTACGAGATTTGGCTCTCTGAAGTCAACATTGGCGGCGCGCAGCTCTCCCAATCTGCTAATCTTGCTAAAAAGGGTGTCACTTTCATTGAGCTTCCCATCACCTTTAGGCCTAAGGATTTTGGGTCTGCGCTCTGGGATATGATTCGGGGAAAGGGTACCGGCTACACCATCAAAGGTAATATCAATGTGGACACGCCCTTTGGAGCCATGAAGTTGCCCATCGTCAAGGAGGGTGGCACTACACGCCTCAGGAAGAACAAGGAAGATGGCGGCGATGACGATGACGATGATGAGGTAATTTATCTACACGATGCACGTTCACTCTGCTGCACTGCATGATTCTCATGATTCTCCTAGATTAGATAGTAGATCAGTTGTGGTTGATATATTCCTTCCATCTATGATATATTCAACCCAAACCCCTGAAACAAGGATCATCCAATCCAATTATTGGACTCTATATTATTACATCTCACCCCCATGGCCCATACGTAGGGAAGAAACAAGCAATTAGTTTAATGTACGATGGAACAAACTGCAAAAGGAGCGGCCATTATCTTAGAGAAACTGATGTGGGTGCAATGCACTTGCCTGATCAAATAGACCACAGAGGCACAAGGCAATATTCCAAAAAAATATTTCACAACTGCACTCAAATTGCTAGAGACAAATTTATGATATATCTATAAATTGCAAGAGTATTTCTCAGAGTGCAACTATATACATGTTCTGTGTATGGTGTCGTTGTATATTGACTATAAATGATGATGTACTCCTGCTCTGACTTCCCCTGGAACATTTTGCAACTTCCTTTTTAAGCAAGCATCATAATCATTCTTATGGAGTATTAGTGTTGAGCTTTCACATGTTTTCCGCACAGAAGCCCCTGCAGTTGCAAATAAAACTCATGGTTACATTAATACATAAAATGGAAGCGAACACTCAAAATTGAACACAAGTATCACAATGTTTTTTTCTTTTTCTTTTCCGGTTAACAGTGTCACAATGCTTTACCTTGCTACGTTGACTTCTTGCTCTTGTAACTCAGTTTATAATTTTCTGTTTGCAGGACTAGACATGGATTTGGCTTGAAATGTTAAACTTGTTGCTGTTGTCTGTTTATCTGTACTGGTATTTTAAAATAATAGATAAATAGGCACTTGAACTTGAGGTATTATAGCTTCTGGTTGGGGGAGAAATTGATATGATTGTTACCGTATATTTGTTATGTTTGGATAGTAATACACATCTCATAAAGAAGGTGTCAGTTGCTTTCTTATTGCAATGGATGTTGCAGTTCGTGCTTTTGGCTCCAAGTCCATTCTACTGTTGAGACTTTTGTGGTAAGTGATTGAATAGTTTATTCTCTCATTTTTCTTATAAATTTCAGTATCATATGATTGTGTAAGCCAATGGGACTACAATAGCATGTTTACTTATCAGTAATGGGTATAGTAATTATTCCAATTCCTTTTTGCTCTGTGTGTACTAACACGTGTATTAGATTCATTCTAATTCCTTACTTCCCT